CCAAAAAGCGTAAATATTTCAAAGGGCTCCTATAGAGTACTATAGACGTTTTGGGTGCTAACACCTTCCCATTGCGTAACCAACCCCCTTACCCCGATCTCTGTCTCGTGTTCTTATTCTAGAACTCTTTGGTTTTGTTCGCTCTTTTTCCTTTCCTTTATTTGGATAAAATAAAAGTGCGGTGGCGACTCTTGTTTTCTTTGAGTTAAGTTAGTCAATAACTTACACTCACGATTTTTACCGCTACATTATTATTAAAAGAAATGGGTTTTAATTAAAAAAGTTTGTGAGATATTAATAAGTTGTTTTTAAAAAAAACTGAAAAAAAAGCAAATTAATTAACTAGTAAAATAAATGGGCTAAAGGTTATTAGAGATTGATTTATTAAAACAAAACAAAATATTAGTCAAAAAAGTTAAATAAAGGGTTAATTAAAAGGATTATTAATAAATATCTAGTTTAAAAAAAATAATTTTATTAATTTATATTTTAATTTAAAAGATTGATTAAAGTTAATTAAAGTTGATTAGTTGCAGTTTAAAAGGTTAATTAAGTTTAAGTGGGTTAATTAAAGGATAATGGTGGGATTAACGGTTGGTTAAGAGGGATTAGGGGAGGACCCAGAGTTCGTATGTGGTGGGCTTACGAGGGTTTACGGTGGGCGTTCGTTGCGGGACGTGGGATGTGGATCCGTTGGAGATCCCAGGGTTACATATGTGGTGTACCGTAGTTGTGGTGTGCGTGTGTGCAGGTGATTACATTACAAACAAAATAACCAGAAAGTACAAAGAAAGAAAAAAAAACCTAATCCCAAATCGGTTTTCCCCTCTCCAACTTCAATTTGTCCTCTGCGATCTCCTCCTCCTCGCTAGCTTCTTCTTTGATTTCCTCCTTCTTTGACTCCTCTCTCCACGCTCTTCTCTCTGCTTCGTTCTTCAATCTCACGTCTCCGGTTTCTTCTTCCTATGATTCTGCTTCTTGTTCTTAGATTACTTCTGACCTAGCAGATTCTCACAAAACAAAACATCAAGCATAAATAGAAAACGTCAATTGAAAGGAGCTTATGCATAATGAACCATGAAGAGGGCTCGCCGATAACTTGTGGTAATTTTACGAGAACTCCGACGGCGTGCGAGGGTGGTATGCGCGACTTGAAGGTGACGACGATGATTTCGGCTGCGGACAGTTTGAAAATAGATAAGTTTTATCTCTTTTGCGGTTTGATTTTGGATTGTGATTTTTGAATGGATCTCTTCTGCTTCTGTTAGGGTTCTGTGATTAGGGGACTTTATGAGATTTGTTTGCGAACTGTTGTCCTCTTCTCATCCCAATTTCTTATTCTTTTATAGGTGCTCTGAGAATCTGAAAATTGATATGTCATTAATGGTATGTCGCAGCTTGTTTTGGAATGAATGATCCTGATGGTAAAGTCTCCTTGTTTTCGTTGAACATGTCTGGGCTGTTTTGGGAAATGAATTAAATTTGCTTTAACGTGTTCAAAACCTGTCTCGAAGGTATGGTAATTGTCCTTTTATTTCCTCTTAGATATATTCGTATTTTGGTTCTTTCTCTTTTCGTTTTGAGCATGTCTAAGTCTATTTGGGGAAGGTTTTAAAATAAACGTTATTTGTTGCTTTAACTTATCATACTTGTTAATGTTCTGCTCTTCTGGTGGTTCAATGTTATCTTATGCAGGTTGAGGTTTTGGAGAAGCCTGAGGAATTGTGAGGTTGCCGGAGTTGCGCTTCAGATGAATGACGGGTGAAGTTGGTAAGAGAAAAAAATCACCATGTAAGCTTTCTTTTGGAATTATCTTGACTTTCTAAGTTTCAAAACTTGAAAATTCAAAAACCTAAATGCTCAAATTCCAAGTGTGCTGACTTAGCTTGAAAGGTTTGAAACTGACAGACTTCCTCATGCCGCAGGTTTAGTTCACAATCTCATTACTGCTGTAAAGTGGAGTGAGCTCAGAGATTTGGATTTTACTACCAAGGTTACTGGTAAGTGTTGTTGTGATCCAAGAAGAAGTTGCCATGAAGAATGTGCTTAATGTTTTCCGATTGATATGGATTTACTGCTGCCTGAAAAGTAACTCAGGATTCCTTTCTTGACTTATTCTGATCAGGGTGACAAGGAGGTTGTAACGGGCTGTTAGTGAAGTAATGGCGGGAAACTATTGTTGCGCATTGGGAAGTTCATCATGGGACCTCAATTTGAAGATTCACAACGAACATTTTGCAGCTCAAACATTGCATTCTACTCAATCCATTAGGGCCTCTTGGAAATCATGTTTTTACGGTTGCCTTTTGAAGGTCGTGCGGTAAAGAATTCATTTGAACATAGCCTCAGTATGAAGCGAGACCGTTTGAATTGCGTCATGCATAGCAGCACTTAAATTCTTTGGTGTTCTGCAGGGATTCACTTGCCGAATTTGACCTACAGGTGACGGAACGTAGTTGTGATAGGGAGGGGGTTCTGCTTTGATGATCATGGACTCTCGCCTTTGCGAAAGTAGTAGCTGACCCGGTGCTGAAGGTGCATATCCAGCCTTAAATTAGAGGGATGAATGTCTTGAAGGGAACCGAGGTAGAAAGAGCTTCCACTTGATCAAACCGGAATCTTTGGTAAGTGGCCAACATAATTCCTAACTTGTCATTTAATCGTTTCGCTAATTCTTTTCCTGAAAAGACAGCAAGATGAAGAGGATCTCCAAGGAGTCGTGTTGGATATTCGGTACTGGCTTTGGTTGTGTAGGAATTCTGAGGGTGTAACCGTTGTTGAAGCCTTAATGAATTCCAAATGACAACTCCACAAAAATGCAAAAGCTTGGTATAATGGTAGGCCCATTAATTTCTGTAGACTTGCTATGACAGTGATCAGGTGCTTTTTGTAATAGATTCATAACATGGACATTGTGCAGGTGG